CTGGAAGGAAGAAGAAGGCTCACCTGTTCCCCTTTCCCTGCCATCCTGCACTCCGCTTGTCTCTGGGTGGAGGCAGGCCAGTGGATCTGAGGAGCAAGAGGGAAGCAAGCACTTAGCCAGGTCCTCTGAGGGAATGGCCACATCCTGCTGGTCTTATAATCTGCCGATTTCTGAAGCAATTCACAGGACACAGTGCATGTGGAACACACACACAAACATGCAAACATGTACGCACACAAAAGACACACATACACAAACACACTCAAGCATGCACCCTGGTATCCTGGTAAAATTTCCCATTGGCCCTTACTAATCATGGCCTCCTAATAATCCCCCTCTGTGAACTGGCTTCATCACTCTGCTCTCCTCCCCACTGATAGCTGATGTGTGGGGAGAGTACTGGCGCACTATGGCTGCTGTCGCATCATCCAGGTGGAGCAGCACACTGTGGTGGTGGAGGGGATCCCCATTACCTGTAAAGCGCTTTGAGTGGAGTGTCCAGAAAAGCTCTATATAAATGTAAACAATTATTAATATTACGCACGCACAAACATATGCACACAAACATGATCAAACACAACACATGCACGCACACAAAAACATACATAATCATGCACACTCAAAGTTATGCAAGCATGAACGTTTACACAAACACACTTAAGCATGCATGCACACACATTCACACGCAAGCACGCACACACAGACACTGGTGTGCACGAACACAGACAAGCATGCACAAACACATTCACAATCCGAGGCAGCCAGTCCTCGCCGTGCACAGTCACACACGAGCGCAGGGTCTTACTATGAGCGGCTCCTTGTTGATGTTCTGCATGTCCAGAGCCACCACAAACTCCCGGCTGCCCAGGTACAGGCGGCCCTGGTCCTGGTCCATCAGGAGAATCCGGTAGTCGCTGGTATTGAAGGAGAAGCTGAACGGCCGGACAGTCCGGGTCTCCAGCAGTTCTGTGACAAACACAAACCCCCGTCAGGAGAGAGAGACCCCCAGCCCAGG